TGTGACCCTATGGTGACAAATGGGTGGTGGTGGTGGGCAGTGAACTGAAGTCACTCCTAAAGACCAACAGTTCAGTCCACACCAGAAAGCACAGGAAGCCACACAGCAGGTAGGGGAAACCCAGCTGCTTATCAGTTGCCTGTAAGGGGTCAGTGGCATTCGGTGGTCCTGAGGCAGAAGCCCCCTGTCCTACCTGGCCCTTGCCCTGGGCAATCACAGGCAGCACCTCCAGAAGTAGCACATTTTTAATTTCTCTCAACACTGAGCTATCAGGGATAAATCTTCAAAGAAAAAAAAAAAACTTTCTCATAAGCTAATACTTCTTTCTTTTTTAAGGTAAGGCCCAGAATTAGCACAACTGATTTCTATAAGAAGCTAAGTAGCTGCTCTGGAACAAAAAGAAGGTTGCTGGATAGCTGGATAATTCTTGGGAGAATTTCATAGCCTGCCAGGTTACAGCTTCTCATTGGTATCTAAACACAAACTTCACTACAAGGGCAGCAAAGCCCAAGAACTGAAACCCATTTGACTGGAAATTCCAGGACCCAAAGCTGGAGGGCCACCCTGGAAGACCATGTGGCCAGCAGTGAGCTCACCAGTCAGCACCTCGCACCTTGGGAGTTAAAGCGATCTGTGGGAAGGCAGGGGTGTGGGGGACAGGGATATCAACACTTTCAGAACTTAAGACATTAAATAAGCAGAAAATAAATATACAATATTTCTACAAGTTACAGCATTATGAAACAGTAGGACACATTACACAGAAAAAGAATTTACAATATTTACAATTCTTGATTCTGAAAAAGTTTAGAAAAACAGTGATTTTTACTCATTTATGCTGTACAAAATTTTACAAGAAAGGTAAAGGAAACACAATTGCACAGACATCTGGCTCAGTTGATAAGTAAAATATGACCTACTAATCTAATAAATAGTCAAAATATATACAATATTAAGGAGGACAGCAGAAAATTATATTCCACTGTGTACTTTCTTTCTTTTTTTTTTT